CCAGCGCTTCCTGGAATTTCCGTTTCGGGCCAAGTCAACTCGTCATTTTATTTTTTTATTGTTTTTTTCCTTCTTCCTTGCTTAGACGTTCCTTTTTCCTTCTACCCCCTTGCCGTAACTGTCAGGCGCGGCACGATCAAACAGGGCCCTGGCCACCTTGGTTTTTCGGTCCGGTACTTCGTAGTCGTACTGCTGCCCTCCCTGTAGAAGGTATTCCTGCTGGTGGTAATTAAATTGCTTGTATTATGGGGGAGTACCTTTGGCTGGCCAAGAACACCCCGGTTCCATTTTCCTCTGAAATCCATCCAGCCTCTCACCTGTTGTTCATTCAAAAGCAGCTGCCCTCCCTCTCGCTCCATTCCATCTTCTGCTGACTTCACTCTACACTGTATCCTCTTGGAATTGTTTTCGGGTTTCCTTTCCTTTGCTTTCCTTTGACTCAGCAACCACTCTCCATCGTGCCTTCCAAGCTACCAAGAATACTACTACTACCTACACTAATACGGCCTCACGGCTCACCACTCTGCGATCACACCTTTTCCCGTCGCCCTTGATCACCAGGATCTTGTCGTCTATCGCAAACGAGACCTGTCTTCGACACGCGCTCGCCTGCTTAAATTGATATCGCCAATCTCGATAGAATATCGCACCCAATCCCAGACACCTTGGCCCACTCTCGGTCTCTGAGATAACCAGCCAGATCTTGCGCCCAGTCTTCAAAGTCACACAGCTCCGAGCTCGCGCAACGACCCCTATTTCGACGCCAATATATCTCCATCCAGCGAGCACATCACTCTTGTCCTCCGTCATCTACGACAGAATCTCGCTCGTCACACCTTGACCACGCGCCGGTGCCGATTTACCTCGTCTCAGCCCAGCCCTGGTTTGCCTTGACTGCCCTGAGAATACGATACTGAGATCTATCCGCGACTTTCTGGCTTCGCAACCAATCCGCCCTTTGGCTACAATCTGTCGCATCATCTCCACCTCTCACTCTTCATAAACGACTTTCCCTGGATTGTGGAAAATCGCTTTTCTTTGGTTCCACGAAGAATCTTTGGTGAGTCAAATCCTCGCTTCACTGAATCTTGCTCGTTCATTTAGGCGAAGCCCTGATTTCATCTTTTCACGCCTTCATGGTTTTCTATATATTCTCCCCCGGGCCAACTTTGATTCCGACTTTGACATGCTCCAAGATCAACTGCTAACTTCAGCTCAGTATACAAACCACCACAACACTTTCATCACAATGGTTGCCTCCGACTCTTGGACTCCTTGCGATATGGGCCGCGGAGCCTACGACACAACTGGCCTTCCCAAGCCTCCCCCTCGTCCTACTCGATGAGTGGTGTCTCGATATCATGGTTCAAGGATATTCACATCCGACGAACATCTGGGCCTCGACCAACTGGCGAGCTGACGTCTCGCCCGCCAGCTGTGCCGGATCTCACTCGCCAATGACTGGCGGTTTTCATTTCATTCGGAACTTGTTTTGTTTTCGACTACCGTCTTCTAATACCTCTTGTCACTAGTGTGGGCTGATTGAATCGCCGCGCTATGTACATCATTGTGACTGCCGAGCCCCTAATCAGTTATGGTGGCATGTACAACACCTCCGCCCACCGACTCGATCGCTTGCAGCATCGGGTTCATTTTTATTAATATTTGTTGCCCTCGGTCTTATGCGATTTACACGGAAACCTTTTGGCACTTTTCTTTTACTCTGGTTTTTCTCCCTACTGGGATTGTTATTGGCGTTGAAACATAGACATAGGAGGAGTTTGGGCGCCCGACTGTTATTTCTGGCCATTTTTTTTTCTGCCGCCGATCTCGCCGAGAGCATCTGTGTTCTGTCAGATCTCACTTTTTTATGTCTCCCATTTGGAAGTGTGCCGTTGGCAGGGCTTCAAGACCCCGGCAGCGGAATGCATATGGCGTCACTTCTGCGACAGCCAGGCATTCATTTGTCTTTCAAGAGGCGTGTTATTTCGGCGCAGGATTTATTTCGGATTTCTACGGCATCAGAGACGAGAGAAGACACAGCTCCCCACGGAGAATAATTGCCATCCCACAATTTTGGGAACAGTCGGTTGGGAAAATAGAAACACATTTCGGATTTCAGGGATCAGGCGATACATTGCATAGACTTTGGAGGGCTTTTTGGGATATTTTGTTTTCAGTTTTACACTTTGCTTTTTGGTTGCCAGCCATTGATCTCTCGCGGGATACAGGTTGCGCGGAATGGGAAAAGGTATATCAGCGACATTCGACCGATTTTTCGTGTCTTGGCTTGCATTTTTTTCTTTTTCGAAAAAATTTCTTTTGTCTCTGGTGGATGATCTACCAACTGTATAGTTTAGAAGGATGAAAAAAAGGTGGTCGAATGTGGCGAGGAGAGATTTCCCGTCCGTGTTCATTCTGGGCTGGGCTCAGATGGATAGAATCTATTTTGTACGGAAAGATACCCTATTTTCTTCATACTTTTTCTTTTGTTACATAGATATTATCATAATAATTCAGGGCAACTGTACAACTTCTATATCTGGCGCAACTGACTGAGCTCGTGAGTCATGACTACTTACCTCACTCTAAGTGCGAAGAGATGTGCTCGTGTAAGCCGGTTGGACAGCGGCGCAGACAACTTAGGGTCAATGCGATGAGTAAGGCTTAGAGGACGTCAGGCTGCATCGACCTGCATCGACCTGCATCAGAATCCCAGCGGGGGGTGGTGTGAAGAGCGTCAGGTAGGTAGCATCCAGGACCGCAGGTAGGTCGAGATGGAGGGGAGGAAACGGTGCGAGCCGTCCCTTGCGCGAAGGCACCCCTCTTGGTACCTCGGACGAGAGAGGTACCAGGATCTACTGGCGATCCGCGGCAGTTCTGCTTGTACCCACCTCGGTAGCGATACCTCCCTCATCGAGTGGGTTGTTGCGGGGTGGACTTAACTGCGACCTTGCGGCTGCGATTGGAAACTTGCTGGGGAAAGTATCTCCTTGACTTCAGCTGTGAGTTTTGCTTCTTATGAGCGAGGTTTTCTCCTTTTTTGCGTTGTAGTTCTCTCGTCTTTAGGCGAGTAGTTGCCGCATTGGCCTGGAACATCGGTTTTTAGAAGCTCAATCGCCTCCCTTCGAGACCTACATCTGCTGCTATTCAGCGTAGATGGGCTACCGGATGGGGATGCTTCTAGACTTGATAGTTCCTGACTACAGTTCGAATGATTGCTTCTTCTGGGGTCCACGCTTTGATTTCTCTTTACTCTTCGGTTACGATTTCTGGCAGCATCATTATTGTTCCAAGCGACTATCGCCTCCGTTGTTTCGGCACTGCACCTGGACGTGACTCGTCGCATCTGTTGCCTCCCGTACTAGCCCGGGCTGCAATTTACGAGAACGGACACTCGCTACCAGCAGTTAAATAACCCAGCATGATAGTTTCTATGTATAGATAGCTTTTCTCGGATCTTCCGACGTGTCAATAGGCCAGTTTAATTAAGAGGTCCTTCCCGGTGGGGTTCCGCTAGTTTTGGTTGTCCTGGAACCAGTTTTGCTTTTGATTGCCGCAAGGCTGCCTCTAACTGCCCTGGTGTAAATTGCCCCCCTTATCCCCTTTTTTATGCCCACAGTGCACATTGCCCCTTGTGCAAAATTCCACCCGCGGAACCGCATTAGCATGGGCTACTATTGAACTTCTAACCGAGTCATGGGGGGACCGCGGGGGCTCCATAGGCTTGCAGCGCCAGGACCATACCACCGGGTCTGCTAACATTGGGTGGGCGTTCTTCTTCTCTCGCCAAGGGGGGGGGGAATTTTACACGAGTCGGTATGAACCCCCCCTGCTCGCGATCGACAGGCAGCTTTTGCCTTTGCGCATGCACTTTATTTTCTTTTCCCCGACAGGTGAGACTGAAATTAAAAAAAGCAAGTCTGACAGGAGATGTGAGGAAGCGAGAAAAGTGAGAGGTGACAGAATTGAGGTGTGGGTGGCTACCAAGGCAGAGACATTGAAACGCCGAAGAAGAAAAGACCAAATAAGAGGCAGCCCAAAAAAAAAAAGCAACGTAGGGAAAAAAAAGTTTTCTTGAAGCGAGATCAAGGAAACAAACGGGCGGGTTCGCTGGCCTCCCCATGGCCCATCCTGGAGGAACTACATGGGAGTGGAGGAAAGTGGCAAGAGAGAAGACGACGCGATGGGATCTCGAACAGTTTGGTTGCCCCGATGATCAGCTCGCCTCGGCGCCGGACGGGCCTTTTGGGATCCTAGCAGCCGGGCTAAACTAGGGGGGCCTGGGAGTTGTTCGTTCCCCGGATCTCCCTTACCACGAATCCGGGACCGCTATCGACAAGTAGGTACAATCTTACGACGGGTGGGGTGTTGGAAAGAAGAGAAGAGAGAAAACTACCGGAGCCCCCTGTGTACTTTGTACGCCTCTTTGAAAGGGGGGTGTGTGGGAAGGAAGAGAGATTGATTATGTGTGTGCGTTGTGCGCCTGCATATGTTGTGTATCACGAAGAGACATCGCGTCTTGTGCAATCTTTATGATGGAATTATTCAACTACGAACCTAGGCTAACTATCCGGCAACACAATTGTGTCCAGAGTGACGGCGGGGTGGTCCTCTGTTGGAATGCCATTGTCGGCCACAGCTCGCTTGGTTGGCATCTCGGGCGGCACATATCGTTTCTGCCGTGTCACTTTTTCTCTCTCATCATCTGATTGACGGCCCCGCACCAGTACCACCGAGAGCTGGCCGAGCCAAGTTTTCTTTGTACGGAGAGACCGGCGGTACTGTGAGTTGATGGTTGACACGGATGTTGGTTCTCCTTGGCTCAGACCTCGCTATAGACGTCTCTGTACATGGTTCAAGATGATGTTAGACCGTGAACTAAACCGAGAACTGAGAGGGCGTTGATGATGGTGGTGAGGGGCATAGCAGAGAAATTAGGGAGAGACAAAAGGTGTAAACAGAGATCGAGAGGAAAAAAAAAGGCACACATGAGACACTCACATCCTTCGGAGCAGCGGCATCTCTCTCCTTACTCGGTCAACCTCGCCCAGGTCCACGTCAAAGAAGCCAATCTCCTCGACCGCGCCCTCCTCCGCGCTCCCCTCCGCATCCGTCACACCCTTCAGCCGCACCGCTACCTTGCCCCAGGGGTCGACGGCGATGCTCCGTCCATAGCTCGCCCGCTTGGGATTGTGCCTCCCGACCTGCGCCGCGGCCACGACCCAGCTCTGCGTCTCGACGGCGCGCGCCCGCAGCAGCGTCTCCCAGTGCGCCTCGCCCGTCCGCAGGGTGAAGGCGCTCGGGTATGTGAGCAGCTGCGCGGGGCGTCCGTGCCAGCGGCTCGAGGGCCCTGGCTGGGCAAGGGATAGCGACGCCTCGGGGAATCGCAGATCGAAGCAGATCAGGCTCCCGATGCGGCCGACCGGCGAGTCGAACGGGGCTGTCAGCCTGGCTCCCGGCTGCACGGTGGCGCTCTCCCTGAGCGATCCGTAGTCGAAGACGTGGAGTTTGTCGTACGTGTTGCCGTCATCGATGCTCCCATCAGCTGCGATGTAGATGGCCCGGTTCAGGATTCGGCCGGCCGCCTTGGAATCCTCCTCCTTCTCATCCGGCACCTGCGCAGGAACTGGCCGATGGTGGATGCCGACGTGGATCGCGACCCCATTTGTCTTGGCCGCCTGCTGCAGTCCGAGCACGAAGGGAGACAAGGACTGGGCGACGGCGAGGTCTCGCGAGGCCTGAGCGTCGGTGGCGATGTAGTCTGAGGCTTCGGGCAGAAACAGGACCTATTCGAGCGACGAGGGCCGCAAAGGGCCGTTTGTGTGAGACCATGGGAACAAAATCCAAGACAGGGGAAAAAAACTTCCGGAGATCTGAACAGACAGGATCGGGGAGGGGTCATTGAGGCTCATATCTCTCTTCTCTCACCTTTGCCCCTCCTCGGGCTGCTTTCCCCACTAGCCTCACACACTGCTCTAGGTTTCCCTTGATTGACGCAGTTGAGCAGATCTGGCCGATAGCCTATATGTGGGCGTTTCACTTTCAGCCAAAGTCTTTTGAGACAGGACCGAGACCTACGTACCGCGAGAGTCATGGTGACTGGCGAGGTCTAAGCGTCACTTCTGCACCGTTTGGATAAAACAACCAAGCAACTGGCGCTGGTTAGTCAGGAACATAGGCTGACGCAAAGTAGACGGTATGCAGTGGCGGGGGACCCTTAAAAATGTAAAATACCTGTGAGCTGGGTGTGATGAGACAACTAGATGAACCCAGCCTGAGAAGTGTACCGATGTCGTGAGACCAATACCAACACTGCTCTCGTCTGCACACCAGGGCGTCCGTAACAAATGCGAGGGGTCGTTGTATCGTTGGAGGTATTGGTAATATGTTGTTAAAAGTCTATCACTTATAAAACGTTTTAACTTGCGTCCTGCTAAATGGCTCGTTCTATCGTTGATAGTTGAAGTTGGGACTGGCTGGTCAATTAGTAAGCCAGTATTGCATCATCTAGCACTGCTCTGAGATCAGTGAAACTATAGCATAGCTCCTCAGATAAGTAGAAATATTCCTCAATTGGCATCTACTTATGGACAAACGATAAAGTGGAATTGTTGAGATAGAGTTGTCCTGGAGTGGGAATAGAGCATGTATCCAAGAGACCTTTCAGACAGACGAGCAATCAAATTTCGGAAAGAATATCGCCTCCCTCCGTCTAGCTCAACATCGGAGTTTGCAAATTTACGCAGGACTTGATGTTTCATTCCCCCAATGGTATTTTCTAAACTAATTGCCTAGAGATACCACCTTGGCGCTCTGGTCAGCCTGCGCCGATGACTCGCAATCAACGGGTAAAGTCCATGCCACCACCTGCGATAAGTAAAAATCGATCGCTGTGCCCTTGGTCAAGAATAATGAAAACCACTGTCCATTCTCATCGTTTCTCGATGCTCGAGAGCATCGCAGCGGCGAGACTCCATCCTCCTACTTCCCACCTCGTGCTTGTCTGCTACCTCTCTCAAATTCCTGTTGTAGTGCTGTCCCCCAACAATGCAAGATGGCCCAGAATAAAAGGAACCCTTCCCAAAAATGCTTCAATAAAAGAAAGCTGAACGCCGGGCTAATCGATACCACAATCGACCACTTTGAAACGAAAAGAAAAAGAAAAATTAAAAGTCACATCAGTACACGGCACGAGATACCCTGCCCTTCTATGGGCGATGGTAAGTCTAGTCGACCATCCTCGTGCCAAACCACCGTTCGTTTTCCCGCCGTGTTCGACCCCCCTTTTTTGGTTTATCTGGGGCCAGACATGTCTAAATCAATGTATGCCTTTTGGAGCGCCTTTGTTTCGCGCCCATCTCTCTCCAGCACAGATATCCAATCTCGAAGCTGGATGTTCCTGCCCTTCTCCTTGTCTTCTCGCCAAGTTCCTAGACGGTTGCGGCCTTCCGTCGTCAGAGCTACATTAACGGGCCCTTGGTTGGGCCCTGGATTGGCACCTGGCTTTCCACCACCAGATGATGCTCGTGGTGTGCTGGCTCCGCTTCCTCCACGACCGATATTCATCCAGTCGTACGTTTTCCCCTTCTTCTTTTTACCGAAGAGGCTCCCTGTGTTACCGAGGCCGGTGAACATGTTGCTGGTCATGTTTTGGTTGGCATGGTTGTTGGCTTCGGCTGCCTTGGCTGCTTGAGTTTTCTTCAGTTCCTTCTTCGTCATCGCCTTGTCGTTTTCCGGCGCTACGGAGCCTGGGGTGCCTGGAGCGACACTACCGGCTCGCGAACCCGCAGCTCCAGCGTCGGGGATGCCGTCCTTGCGCTTCTGGCGCTTTCGGAGTCTTGCCTCTTCCCATTCTCGCTCTTGCTTTGCTAGATCTCTCATCGTCATTGTCATGTATGACGCAATTTTCGCATACTTCTTCGGTTTAGCAGGCTTCACGTCACTCGAGGGATCCGCGGGGCCTGGTTGATGTCAGTATCATGATAGCTAAGCGGAAATGTAACACATACGCTTGAGGGGGTTGGTGCCGAGGTCAGGGGCACCGTCAGCCAGCGCTGGCTCCTTGTCAAGCTGCATAGTCTCGGGGGTCTCCAGATTCAGTGGGGCAGCAGCAGCAGCCCATTCCTCTGGCACATCGCCATGCGACGTCTTCTGCCGGTGTGTCGCAACAGAATTGGCATCATCCACAAGGTCCCGTAGTCGCACCTTGGTTGCTATAGATAACAAAGCCAACTGGTCCACCAAGAAAGCGTCGTGTGGAATGAAAGAGCCAGTCGTGTGCACCATGTGAGAATCCGGCCCTGTCTTGGTCGTCACCGTGACTGATGGCTCAGGGAACTGGTTGGGAAGCTTCATACGCCCCATTTGCTGATTCATATTCCGCAGGTCAAGGTTGAGTTTGAGGGCATGTTCCCTGGCAATCTTCTCTGCTCTCCTGTGTAGCAAGGCGACAAGAAGAAATGGGTCATTGATTTCTTGTGTTCGTTGCGCGCCTATACGCATAGCAGACTCAGCCCACGCCCTCTCCGCTGCTTGGGCAGCGTATTTGTCTTGATCCGTCTCCGTAACCGCCAGAGCAGGTTGATTTGCAGGGCCTGCACCATAGAAAGTTGATTTCGGGCCAGGCGCATGCTGTGGGAAGCCCGATCGCGCTTCCGCATCAAAAGAATTCGCGTACATATCTGACATGAACTGTTCCTCTGCCCTCAAGTCGATACCAGTGCCGGCAAGCGAATCTGTAGGATCATATTCATATTCTTTGGTTGGCTTCTCAGCCGGTCGTTGCGGCGGGCCCATAACCCCGGCCATGCCTTGTGGCGGAGCGATAGGGGTATGTATCATAGGTACCATTGGTGTGCCGGGCGTGTACGGTGTTGTAGGAGTTGTTGCAGACGTAGGTAGCTGTGGTGTCGGCATAGGTAGTGATGTCTGCAGTTGGGGTGTCTGAAGCTGAGGCGTCTGTAAAGGTTGAGGCGTTTGTATTTGAGGTGTTTGTAGTGAAGGCGTTTGTAAAGGCTGCGGCGTCTGTAGAGGAGGTGTTGCGCTCGCTCGGACATCTGGAAGACTCAGCACCGGGGTGGTGTTCCCATTCACGTATGGCGAACCTGCCCCTACTACTCCTTGTACCACCGGGCTTGCCATGTTAGCTGGTGACGCGACGTTTCCAGGCGGGGTGATTCCGGTGGTCGGGCTCATCGCATAAGGAGAGTTGGGGAACGGCGAATTAGGTTGCGACGGAGCGGCGTCTGTTAAAACCCGTTTGTTGGGCGGAGGGGCATAACCTGTCTGCGAACTGGCAGGAGAAGGACTATGCTGAGGAGGCGAGAAGGCCATCGGCGGAGCCTGCGGTTGAGGTTGCGCCATGACTAACAGCGAAAGCGCACTGGGTGCAGCAGTGATTGAAGTACGCAATGACTGTCGGAGGACCTCGAGCGCGTGGACTTTAGCAGGCTCCCAAGCCTGCTAGGTCGGGAGAGACTTCGCCCATCCGATGAGCTCCGTGATTGTGGAACTTTGGTATAATGTACGTCGCCGGTTGACGCGACCCTTCGCAAGTGAGTGGTTGACAGGGAATTGCGTTGCTCGATGTTGGGTCTCGTTGCGTTCTTGATAGTATACCGACGACGGATGTGCAGAGGAGAGAGCTATGTTCAAGAGGAGAGAGTCGCGTAGAATTTAATATCACGTGACACATTGCTGCCTACACCGGCCATTGTCGCGTCACCCGAGAAATAACCGGTTTGCCCAAGCACAATACTGGGGCCTATCAAAAGCCCGGAACAATAGAGGTAAGCTTTTGATCTTGCGCCTGCTTGCAGCTCAGACCGGTCATGAGAAAACCAATCCCATTGTCCAGTTGGGATCAATAGGACTCGACTCCCAATTGGCAACCTGGACTCCTACATCACTTTTTTGATACTAATGTGGCAAGACTTAGGATAGGATAGGCGCCAACAGAAAGAATGGCATCCAAACGCAAGGCTTCGGCCATGAACGCGACCGCGAGCGAAGACCCCGTAGATCCGTCTGATGAGCTCATGTTTCTTTGCTTGGGAGGAGGCAACGAGGTTGGACGGTCGTGCCATATCATCCAGTACAAAGGAAAGACAGTGATGGTAAGCAGGTTCCGAGGTCAGAAAGGGTTCAGCAAACTCGAGTGGTCTCTTACAACTACCGACGAACTGCGCTGACCATTGCGCTCTCTCTAGCTTGATGCCGGCCAACACCCAGCGTACGAAGGACTTGCTGCGCTTCCGTTTTATGATGACTTCGATCTCAGCACCGTAGACGTGCTCCTTATCAGCCAGTAAGCGCCGCCTAGCGATCCCATTCCCACGTTCCAAGATTACAAAAGAGGCCATATTCAGGAGGACATGTGATGCGCTTGGGTTCGCGTATCGAGGGCTGGATATGGCGATGAAAGCTTCCTCGTCTTTTTGATAATATGTCTCTCCCTGTCACGCGTATCTCAGATGAATACAATACTCTATTCTATACTCCTGTCCCTCCAGCGCGGCTGTTTGTGACGATGCCATATCCTGTCCCTCGAATCCCATTGCGCCTCGCCCAGTCCTCACGCAGACAAGGCCGCCCCTTCAGATCATGACCAGGGCTGACTAGGAGCAGTTTCCACATCGACCATGCGGCATCACTGCCGTATGTTCTGGCCAAGACGAATTTCAGAGGGCGTGTGTTCATGACCCATCCAACCAAAGCCATTTACAAGTGGCTCATTCAAGACTCTGTCCGAGTGGGAAACACCTCCTCGAACCCAACGCAGCCCTTATACACAGAGCAGGATCACCTGAATACATTCCCGCAGATTGAAGCCATTGACTACCACACAACTCACACCATCTCCTCCATTCGCATCACCCCTTACCCGGCTGGCCATGTATTGGGGGCTGCGATGTTCCTCATAGAAATTGCAGGACTCAACATCTTCTTCACAGGCGACTACTCCCGCGAGCAGGATCGCCATTTGGTGTCGGCCGAGGTCCCAAAGGGTGTCAAGATCGACGTCCTCATCACGGAATCTACCTATGGCATTGCATCCCATGTGCCTCGTGTCGAGCGAGAGCAGGCTCTTATGAAGACGATCACAGGCATTCTGAACAGAGGCGGCCGTGCCCTCCTACCCGTGTTCGCCCTTGGTCGAGCCCAGGAGTTGCTGTTAATTCTTGATGAGTACTGGGACAAGCACCCGGAGTTCCAGAAATTCCCCGTCTACTATGCCAGTAACCTTGCAAGGAAGTGTATGCTGGTCTACCAGACATATGTTGGAGCGATGAACGATAACATCAAGCGTCTGTTCCGAGAGCGCATGGCCGAGGCCGAGGCGTCCGGCGATGGCAAGGGCAAGGCTGGCCCGTGGGACTTCAAATACATCCGCTCACTCAAGAACTTGGACCGCTTCGACGATGTGGGTGGCTGCGTTATGCTCGCCAGTCCTGGTATGTTGCAGAGTGGTGTCAGCCGAGAGCTGTTCGAGCGGTGGGCGCCCGGAGAGAAGAACGGTGTCATCATCACAGGTTACAGTGTCGAGGGAACAATGGCCCGGCAAATCATGCAGGAACCAGACCAAATTCCAGCCGTCATGTCACGAAGCCTGGCAGGTGCTCGACGCGGACCTGGTGGAGAGCAAGAGAAGGTGCTCATCCCACGACGCTGCAGCGTTGCTGAATACTCATTTGCGGCTCACGTCGACGGTGTCGAGAACCGCGAATTCATCGAGGAGGTTTCTGCTCCTGTAGTGGTATGTGTTCATCCCGTAACTTTTACGTAGATTATTTCGATTTGCTAACTCATCTTTTACTAGATCCTCGTCCATGGCGAGCAGCACAACATGATGCGTCTCAAGTCCAAGCTCCTCTCTCTCAACGCTTCCAAGACAACCAAAGTCAAGGTCTACTCCCCACGCAACTGCGAGGAGCTACGCATCCCCTTCAAGTCAGACAAGACCGCCAAAGTCGTCGGCAAGCTGGCCGCCATCCCCCCGCCGTCCGCCGACACCGCAGGCGACGCCTCCATCACTGACCTCGACAAGTTCCCCCTCGTGTCGGGCGTCCTGGTCCAGAACGACTTCAAACTATCGCTCATGGCCCCGGAGGACCTGCGAGAGTACGCCGGCCTCAACACGACCACAATCACCTGCAAGCAGCGCCTGACCCTCAGCGCCGCCGGCATCGACCTCGTGAAATGGGCCTTGGAGGGCACCTTCGGCACCATCGAGGAGCTCCCCGAGATGCGCAACGCCCAGCCCAACGGCAACAACAACGACGGGGAAGCCGAAAAGGCCGACGAGGAGGTCTCGCACCTCGTGGCCGCCTACCTGGTCATGGGCTGCGTCGCCGTCCGCTACCGCTCAAATGGCGAGGTCGAGCTCGAGTGGGAGGGCAACACCCTCAACGACGGCTTCGCCGACGCCGTCATGGCCGTCCTCTTCTCCGTCGAGTCGTCCCCCGCCGCCGTCAAGCGCTCCGCCTCCAAGAACCCCCATTCCCACTCCCACGACGACACCATCCCCGCCGGTGCGATGAACCCGCACACGGCCGCCTCGCCCGCCGAGCGGCTGGAGCGCATGTTCTGGTTCCTCGAGGCGCAGTTCGGCGCCGACAACGTCGCACCGGTCGAGACGCCAAAGCTCGCCGCCGCGCCGGCTGAAGAACCCTCCGAGGATGCGATGGACGAGGGCAGCGATGACACGGAGGACAGGCAGAAGGAGATTGAGCGACTGCACAAGATCGGCATCCCCGTTCCGGGAGTCAAGATTACGGTGGACAAGCTGGTGGCTACGGTGTGGCTGGAGGATCTCGAGGTGGAAAGCAGTAACAAGGTGTTTGCCGACAGAGTCAGGGCGGTCGTGGAGCGTGCAGTCGAAGTCACAGCCCCGCTTTGGGGTTAAGATGGCCCAACAAACATGTACACATATTCATAGTAATCCTACCTAAGCCAAGAAAATACAGATTTTATAGAATAGCAGTGTCTAGGTGGCGATGTTGCAAGGAACAGAGACAAGTATGAAAGGATGGATAACAATGTATCGGAACATAGGGACTAGCTAAGTCTACAAAAAATAAAACAAGGTTGAATAAATAAAAGGGTCCTTAACCCAAGTATTCGGTCAAGTCCTCAGACTCTTCCAACATACTCTTGAAAGAAAATGGCTGGAAAGGCCAGCCGTTGAATTCGGCAAACTTGGAGAAGGATTCGACCCAAGCCAGACGAAGAGAGTGCAACATGGCACTGGTACCCTCCATACACACCAGAATAGCAATGGCTGTAGTCGCATGTTAGCTTCAGTGCTTAAGACGCGCGAGGATTGGGAGAAGGACATACTGAGGAAGAACCACATATAGAAACAGATGACAATCATGATTACACCCAATGGGCCAGTGGTGGCCAGAGCATTGCCAAGAGTCATGTTCCAGAGCACAACACTGAGCTGCTGGTGAGCAAGGGACAAAGCCCAGAGACGGAGGTAAGAAGCTGTGTGAGAAACGCAGTTCAGGCAGAATTCTGTGCACGTTAGTAAATAGTTTATAGTAGATGGTGCGCGTTTAGATCAAGACATACCGATAGTGTGAATAACTTGGTGAATCATCACCTCGCTGAACTCGAACTCCTCGTGCTCCTCATCAATGTTCTGGGAAATCATGGCAACACCATCGTTTTCATCGAGGCTGTTACCGTTGGGTCGGGTTTCATCGTCGCCGTCCAGAGCGCTAACATGAGCGGTCTCGCCGATGCCGCGGTAACCCTTTCCGCGGGCACGGTTATGCTCCCAGCGGAGGTAGTAAGGCTTAAGGAATAAAAGAATAGGAACCTGGATGACTGCCAGGAGAAGCAAAGCCTTCTGCACAGCAGACTGGCCGGGGTAGAGGGGCTTGTCGATGAAACCAGGCTGCAAGAACATGTAGATGAGCATGTTCAGCAGACCGGGAGGCTCGGCACCCTTGGCCTGCCAATCGACGGACCACTTGTAAATAATGCAAATAACAAGGTAGCCGAAAATTGACTGGAAGAAGATCATTCCTGGGACGAAGTTGCCCCAAATGTCAATAGGCTTCTTGAAGTGTCTTGCGTTGATGTACGAGAAGCAGAGAGAGTAAGTCATGTGGGCCCAACCCAGAATGATACTCATCTTCATCTTGTAACTGTTGCTGAAGAGAAGATCATTGTCAGTACCGTGCCACGCCCAGTCCAGACCGAATGGGTATCGGTATCCGTGGTCATTGAGGGTGGCAGTAACAGTGTCATGATCCTTGAAGCCATCGGGCTTCTTGAACTCCCAAGCTGAAGGGAAGACAGTCATGGATTTGGAGAAAACATCGTTGTAAATCAGACCGGTAAAGATGGAGAACACAGCCATGACAAGTGCGATATATCGGCCGTAGAAGATCATGGCGAACAGTTCGAACGTAACCTTCTTCAGAGATCGCTCCCAGTAGATCATGGCAAGCGCAGCGGCAAGCATGATGACGGCGTGGCCGAAATCACCAAACATGACAGCGAAGAGAAAAGGGAAGGTAACAATAACGGGCATCGCTGGGTTGACTTCCTGGTAGGTGGCAGTTCCGTAGGCGTTGACAATTGTCTGGAAACCCTCGGTAAACTTGTTGGTCTTGAGGTAAGTAGGTGGCTTCTTGTTAGTGCGGATCTCATTGATGATGGAGGGCACAGAAAGGCCAGCCCGGTTGGTGACATCTTGGAGGGTAGATCGGATGAGGGGAAGATCGTTGGTCGGACACCAACCCTCAGCGATCAAAGTGCGACGAGCGCGGTCGTAAGAGAACAGGTTAAGAGTGTTATACACAGCCTTCTCCTTAGAGACCAGAACCATCCAGGCGGAGAGCGACTGAGAGATCTGGTTCAGCTCAGCCTCGAGAGTGGCTTGGGTGTTGCGCAGCACGTTCTGGACATCCTGAAGTCGGTTGTTGACTTCGTTGATCTGGTCACGTCGGAGATCGCTGTTCTCGTCGACACTATACACATCAGCGCCCATTGACTCGGAAATCTTGCGAATCTTGGCAAGAATCTCCCTTCCGTGAGCAAAGATGACGAAGACATTCTTGTTGATGGCCTCGTTGTTGGTAGGGTCGATGAGCGGCTCGGGAATCTCGGACTGGTTCATGTACAAGTTACCACGAAGCGTTCGCCAGAGAATACGCTCAAAGGCGCCGATGCGATCGCGGTTAATAACACCGGCAACAAAGCCAATGTTCATCCCGGAGAAGGATCGCTCGGCATCGGGAGCGGAGTGGTTGTGCTCGACGTCGGAGAGCAGGGGTGCATCATCATCGTCCGTCGAGGCGCGAATTTCCTCCACGTTGCCGTGAGCACGGTCGAAAAAGCTGCCAGCCTCGCGAAGAACCCATCGCCACTCTGTGAGGTCGCCCTCTCGCTTCTTGAGTGTCTCGTAGCTGTCGTTCAGAGCAGAAATGCGCTGCTCGAGCTTCTGGCTGCGCTCGGAGAGTTCATCGATTTCGGACGTGGAAGGGGTCGAAAGGCGCTCAACATCAAGGTCCAGCTTTCTGAGAGAGATTCCTGCCTTCTCCATCTGTGTATAGAAGTAGCCTGTAGGTGGCGATGGTCAGTACCAATGTGGGTCGAAGCTCGAAGGGGGGGACACGACGCACGTAGCTGGCGCTCGACGTTGTCGAGGCGTCGGATTTCCTGGGTAAACGTGCGCTGGAAAGCGCTGACATCTTCATTGAGCTGGACGAGATTTCTGAATTAGCAGGCTGATGAGGGATGGACGCGGTCCAGATGCCGGGCTTACATCGCGGAACTGGCAGAGTCCCAGCTCGCCAAGAGCAGTTACAACTTCGCGACCAATTTCATTGGAGACGTAGAGCTGCACCATGCTCATGTCCGCCGAGCGGAACGGGCTGTCTTGTCGCGGTGCCATTTTGCGCGTTGCAGCACCAAGACGGGATGCTGTTGGGTGAGTGAAGCTTGCTTGTCAAGGAGTAAGATGTTGCCTGCTGGCTGGATCAATCTCTAGTTACGTCGTTGCGCAGCTCTACCCGGAATAGCGATTGTCCGGCAGGAGGTAGAGTCACGTGGTCCCAGTATTACTGCCTCAGCGTGCCAGTCCGTCCCCTGACGGTGGCTGCAAGAGTGTATTTTTACGGGCATTGGCGATATTTTAGGCACTTACCTAAGGATCCATCTATTTTTAGCCCGGCTGCGGCAGCCGATTTCAAACACGGCGATGCGCCTGCCGTAATACTCATCACACGCAACAACGTCACTGGAACCGAGATTCTGTCATTTATCATTTATTTTATCTGCTTTTTTGAACTTTTCGCCTTTTTGACTATGCGCATGAAATCACAAAACAAGAAACTCAAGAAATGTCAAACAATGCCAAAACATTTCCCTAATCCCCAGATCCGATGCATAACTCCGTGCCTGAATGAACATGAGTAGAGAAGTGAATCAAAGGCTTGCTGAATGCGTAAAGACCATTTTCAAAGACGTCGTCCAAACATGAAAGATCCATACATGCCACCGACCTCGGCAACAGCAACTGGGACCTTGCGCATACCCCAGCTTTCGGCACCCAGCTTCCACCACCGGGCACCGTTGTCCACAGTTGTACCATCCGCATTAAGTCGTACCAGCCAGTAGCGGGCACCAAATTCCTTGGCAGTCCAACCAACTCTCTCCAAGTTCTTCCTCATCTTCGCGGCCCATTCATAGGTACGCTCCTGAAGCTCAATGACGTGCAAAGGCGCAGTGTTGGGAGAAAGGAGTTCATCTCCACTGCCAACCTTCGCTTCGATGTCAGAGAGATCGATATATCGGAGGTTGTGAGACTGCCACTCTCTATTCTTGTAGAAGAGCTGGCGAATGTCACTCAAATCAAGACCTCCGCCCACAGCAAGCTCCTCCAGCCTTTCGGCGAGAACCTTTAGCATCGGTAGGTGTGATGGATCCATTCTACTGCCCTTCAAACTCAATGATCGCAGGGTCTGCGGAAGGTGTGGCAACAGCGCGTCCACATCCTCTTTTCCAAGAAGGAGATGGCTGCTTGCGTCCGTCGAGAGACTGAGGAAAGCAAGGCTGTTCGCAGTAGCAGGGTGGGAAGTGACAAACTTGATCACGATCTCGGATGTGACCTCTCGGCACTTGGCCAAGTTGAGATGAGTGATCCGTGCAGTCTGGGGGATAGACAGCAGAGCCTTGTCATTAACCCGAGTCCCCGCAAGGTCGAGATGTGTTACCTTGCCCAAGTGGGGAAATAGCTTCTCGTAAATCGAAGAGGGGAGGCTAATGCACTTGTGGAACGAAATACGTGTCAAGTTTAGAGTTTCTGGCAACTCGAGGTCCAAGACCGATCGGAAAGAGTTGCGGAAGCTCACCGAGGAGCATGCGCAAAAGTCGATCGCCTGCAGACGAGGCATATCGAGGAACAACTTTCGAAGAACCTCGGGACCTATGTCATCATCAATGTACTCCTGGGCCAGAAACTCATGCAGATATGGGGTAAGCTCCAAGCACTGAGCCAGGGTCTCGCTAGTCAAGTTTCGCGTCTGCGCTCGCTCGCTTGCGGTAGAGAAAATGGTGGAGGGGTTAAAGTGGCTAAAGTCAAGGCGCCGGACGATCGACGCCAGGGCTGGGTATTCGGTAATAGTAGACAGGAATTTGCGGAAAATCCTGGAGTGGGGGATCGTGATATGACGATACAGGGTATTAAGAGTTGCGGCATGCAGAGACCTCGACGCCAGCAGCAAGGCCATGAGATCCGCATTGCGGGTGGTCAACCCATTCGTAGGGAGTTCGACAACCAAAAGATCGATGATATCACCTGGGAACCTGTCAGCGACTCCAACTTAAAAGACTTGGCAAGGGTGCACAGGTAACGTACCAAGAACCTCGCTGGGAAGCGTCTCTAGAGGCGACTGTCCCGTCACGTAGCTCGTCGGCATCTTCTTCTCGACAGCCGGTGTCTCGGGGGGGCTCCACGTCATGTGTAGCTTGCGCAGATCCTCAGAGCTGCGGCTCGCCATCTTGCCCTTGAGAGGGATCTCCCTCCATCCCCTAAAGTTCTCGGCCGGGAACCAGAATCCATGGAGGCGGCTGTGTGGCTGCGTGAGGGGCGGCTGGAAGGTGGGCTGGGGGATCTCCTGCGAGGGAGACTCCTCAAAGACGTCGGCAGCATCAGCGCCGTGGATATAGGATGATACTTTGGAACGAGTGAAGGTCTGGGCCAGACCATCGTCGTTCTCGCGAACGGAGGAGAAGGACGAGCGCGCAGTCTTTTCCGAGGGCGAGATGGATCCCATGATATGCTTCCTGAAGTTTAGTGGATGGTCGAAGTCGAGCACCATGTGCTCGCCATCGCCGTGAGAGGCCATATAAGTAGGTCGGCGGGTGCGGAGTGGCTCTTTGTGCGGTGTTCGACGGGACTAGGGCTTTGACAACGTCGTGGATGGGCCTGGCAAGCTACTGAAGTTGCATGGACCGGATGGTTGATGGGAGGAGGTGGACAGGGAAGTTGGCGGTTTTCTATTAGTCAAGTTGGATTGGCTTTAGGTAACAGAATCAACGAGGTGATGCGGGGGAGGAGCTAGAAGAAAGACGGGAAGTATGGAAACAGGATCGGGGGAGGTGTTGTCTTTTGACGGAGGTTCGGGCGGCGGAGGTGGATAGGGCGAGCGAGTGACAATGGTCGTGAGTCGAAACGCTGGGACTAGGATGAGTAAATGATGGAGTCTTGTGGGCTGCGGTCGAGTCTGGGCAAAACGCCACTTGGGAGGTCTGGCCGAGGACGCAATAAGGTTGGCCTGCGCAGCAAAGTGCCAATGGCACGGGAGATGGGGTGACATGCTGGGGAAGGTAATTGCAGCACGCCATGATTAGCTCACTGAAGGGCGAGATTGGGTAATGAAAACAGAGGACTGGAAAGAGCCAGCATCAGGTGAGCGAAGATGTGACATGAGCCGCTCCGACAATATGGTGTTGGATTGGAGCGGCCAGACTGCGATTGGACAATGATTTGGTAATGAGAACGTGCCTGGTCGCTGTGGCCGGGCCTTTGCTGGCATCCTGTGGTGGAGCCGTCGACATCGGGAGCCTCGCCGGTGCGCACAGCTGGTTGCGAAACGTAATGGATTGGTGGTCGTGTTCAGTAACCTGGACTAGCCGCTGCTAAACTGTGTGCGACGGGTCGTGATGCGCGCACGTCCTTTCCCCTTGGACGCCGCCAGCTCGCCCCTCTCGCGGTCCCTTGCCTCTGCCTGCCAGCGTGCCGGGTTGCTGTCCCCAGTCGCTTCCTTCGCTATCGATCTTGCCGGTCTTCAGAACTAAGCTCTGGGCCTCGTGACCGGGTGGCGCCCGAGCTACGCAAGATTGCCTTAGCTCGATGCGCCTACCCCAGACTTTTTTCCTTTCTACACCCTTCCTTTCAGGGTCCCTCGCCTGTCCTTGTGCCACCACCAATCTCACATCCACCCTTGGGAGATATCTCGTCGCCGCATTCTGGACTCTCGACCGCCTCGTTTCCCCTTCGCCCAATGCTGCAGCGACGGTCTCATCTATTTGTCTCATCGGACCTGACGTGGCCACATATCTGCATCGTATAAGCTTATTAACTAAGTGAGACATCGTCGCCCTTCTCCTCGGAAGACCAACATCACCTCCATACCAGCCAGCTCACACCAAAAGCAACACACAGACACTGCCCCGCCATACCGTTCCTCCAAGTGCGTGCTCGGTAGTATCCATTACCATATTGTCAACCGACCTACCTTCCCCTAGTATTCTAGCCCACCCTCGTACTTAACAATTACATAACTGCAAACTCCTGGATGCCAACCACAGCCCATCTATTCCAAAAGCGCGGCTGACATTGATCGCCTCTTTTTGAAGGCTGCCTGTCTCACTTGGAACGTCCTGATGGTATTAATATTACTAAGAGCACCCCTTGCATCAATCACATGACGCTCTTATGTAGAAACTCCGGGACAGGAAGATGCCCGTTCCGCTTTCGGGCAAGTAGCGGTGATTATCCTGTGCCATCATGATGCTTTTGGGCGGTTAGCCTTTTGGCTTGGCCCAGTCTAAGCCCTTGCCGAGGACTGAGTCAGGTACAACCCGCATGATCAAGAAAAAAAACCGAAAGGTAAAAAAAAGTGAGAGCGCCGCGATCGGAGGGCCACCTCAGCAGGGAGGCCGAATCCCGACCGAGTTGTCCGACTTCCCAGGAAGTTTCAGCCGAGCTAGTGAAAAAGAAGAAAGTGAAGCAGAGGAGAAAAAAACTATCATTGCCGTTGCCAGCCGCGACAAGCCTCTTCTTTGTCTTTTTTCTGCCACCGCCTTTCAATTCTTCATTACCGATTCCAATGTTACCCCGCCGACTTGCCGGTCTGAAGAACATGGGAATTGGTGTGGTATGCATACCAGGTAAACTCGTATGGGCCTTACTTGGGTTATAGCTATCGCCGAGTCTCTTGTAATCGCCGTTGAGCTCTAAACCCACTGCCCACCATGAAACCAGGCTCGTGCATATGCCATACGGCATGCCGCTGACTGCATACGCATAAGCAGGTTATACGTCATTTTTCTTTGCCGACATCCCGCACGCTCAATCTCGCCACCAAATAATCAGATTAGCAAATTCTCGGGGACACACCACAGGGGTACACTGATACATTTGAGAATCTAAAGATCAGATCAACGCCTCTACCACTCATTATGAATCCTCAGTCTCATCAAGGAGTCCTCCTAGTATCCTCGGCATGAGAATGTACAGAGACACCGTGAAGATGATGAACATGTACCCATCCTGCGCCTATGAACCGCCAAAATAAAGAAAAAAAAATTCGCTATGGAGTGGCCCTGCACTTAACTCCGGTATCGTCGACACGACCAGACAAGAGGGAAACATATCTTGACATTGAA